ACGAGCTAACGCTTTAACCACTAGGCTACCCGACCGCCCCTACATTAGAATAGAAGCTTCTGATTGGTTAAAGAGCAAGCAATTGATTTTCCCCGCTTAAACAATCAGTCGAAACACATCGTAGGCAACTTGCATACCTCGAATAAGTATCGGTGAGTTGAAATGAACTGATGCTTATCCATAAATACATTAATAATAAAATAACAATAAAAAATATAAACAAAAAGTAAGACCCAATACTAATTGAAAAAAGCATAAATACTACTAATAGGATAGGGAATGAATATAAGATAAAGTTTATTAGTTAAGCTAATATGAATATAACAGACAGATTAATATATAAAAAGCGAACACAATATTATTACTTGGCTGGGTGGTTGAGTAAAGAAGCTGATAGTGCAGTGTGGTAATGGCATGGTGGTGAAGCTAGGTGACCTACATGTAGTTAATTTGGCTGAGTTCTCGATTTGACGGCGACCTACATGAAGTGGGGAGTGGACGATTGTCGCTGAGAATTTTGATACCGACCGTAGGTAAATTTGGAATGTGATCTGCGCTGATCTCTAAAATCTGCGCTGTAGGCTGGCACTTTTAATGAAGATTGGGATTGCCAAGATACCTTTGGCCATATCGTTATCGTGTGGTGAAGATAGTGTCAGGCGAGTGTGAACCCTCCGTGTATGACAGTAAACACATCAACATGGATGAAGCGAACAGTCAACAGGGGACCTTCAGTGTAAGTTAACACACCGAAAAGAATTTCGTCTTACAATAATTTTCAGGAATAGGTCTTTTTCAGCTGGCTGATGACACAGATACAGTCATGAATGTTATTTTGTGATTCGGCTAGCCTACGGTGGATAGCATAGAGGCAGGGTTTTCTTTGCTACGACCGTATTACCGTAGAGGTTATTATTGTGGTGATGCCTATGGCCGCAGGGATGTACAAAATGATATTTTGATTCGAAGTTCATGTTTTATGAGATTCACAATCATCTAAAAAACAAGAGGCTTTCAAAACAATAATTATTGCTATAATCGCACATCTCCATTATGATTATGATAAATGCATGATAATGCATGTTAAAAGCATTAAAATAATACTGTCAGCCGAACAAACATGCGGAGCGTAACGTGTCTCCAAACTCTTTTAGAGGCTTTCAGGGAACATTTTACTGATATATGAACATGAGGGATCAAAGTAGACGTTGATGAGATCTTAATAATATACGACCTAAATTCCATATAATTGTTAGCAAATGGACCATAGAGAAAGTTAAACCAATATTTTATCGCGGTACATGCGACATCTTAAGTATAGAAAATTGTGAAATATGGGAATATTACAAACTAACGGACCATGTTCCAATATCTCAAACCTGCTGACTTTCAAACTGATAACGCATCTCGGACATTATCCAGGACCTGTACATGTTATTGTGTTGGGCAGATAGAGTTAGGCAAACAAATTTAAATCGTAAATACCTTTATCTGTCTCAACTAGTGATTTCAGATAGTAAGAAAATCATTGAGACATGGGGGCAATTCGATTCCCTCCTTGGATACTTTTTTTGTTTTACTGCTGTTGTCTTGCATTAGACATGACATGCCTTTTCTTAATCGGACGTGGTTTGATTCATCAGGGAAGGCTTTGAGTTTTACTTCATGATAAAGGTAACTCCAGGCGTGAGGCTTTCATTTTTGAAGTTTTTCTTGCATTGTGCACATCGATAATGATGTCATAAAACCGAAGTGTGTTTATTTATGGGTAGTTACAGGACTAGGTTGTACTGCATTATAGATCAAACATGAATATAGATAGATATTGGTGATGTCAGCAGTCACCTCATTTGGTCAATTAAAATCGAGTCATGATACATGATTCTGATGAAGTGACCTGTTGCTCAAAACCGGAGCTCTCTTCTATTGTCGTTGAATAATCAGTGATCACTCCTTATAATGAAAACATTGTGTAATCTGAACAAATATATATAAACTAACAAACAACTGTTTCTTAGGTCGATGGGAAGAAGCTTGACTCGGATTCCAGTGGACAGCACATCGTTACAGTAACAGATCGAAGTGGCCGCACCTTAAAGTTTCAACTATTCCAAGGAGTACACTATATACCTTTGTATAACGTCGCTATACTTAAAAAAATCAAAGGTTTCAAAATGAGGTCAGATGACATATACTTCAGTGGATATCCTCGAACAGGTAAATTCTAAACGTCATCACCAGAAAATAACCTCGATTATCCTCCGAAACTGTTTCCATTGGGTGTAAAAGGCAAAATAGTACTGAAACATTAATGATTTGATCACTGAAAGGCACTGTTCCGGTAGCACCCACCGTTCATTCTAGTTTGACGTTTGCCTAACGCCGCATCGGCGTCAGGTAAACAATCACGTCTCGAACAGACTATCTTGTGATCTGATTATACTATGGGAAAACATCGCACATCGTGTTAAAGAACAGTGTGAATGAATATTTTGTAAATTCCTCTGAATGCCTTCAATGGAAATTCTGGAATGATTTCACCAGAACTTTGATGAAATTTACTTTGATTAAAAAGCATATCTGTAAGTAAAATTTGTCTTTCCATGAAAAAAGTAAATGGGGATACTCCATCTTCAGAAATCTTGCTGCAGATCTATCCACACTAAATTAACACGTCAGCACATATCCCACTACCTCTTTATCAGTAATACGTTTAACGTTTATGAACTAAGATACTACGAACTTTGACACTGCCCACCGGGCAGATTTGTGAAAGAAGTGCTTCCAAAATAATTTCTTTTTGCGATTCTCAAAACCTCAAAGGCTTTGCTTGACTTTGTGCAATCTCAGAAAAGAACGAAGTTCCATTCTGTCAAATCATTTGATTTTTCAACTTTGTACACCACTCTCCCACATGATAAACTTAAGGAAAAACCTAATTCCTTGATTCATGGGTCTTTTGATACAAAACGTGGTGTACACAGATACAGTAACGTATCTATATTCAGAGGTTCAGGACAATTTGTGAAAGGAGAAAACAAGTGCAATCTGACGTTTACTGGGAAAACAATATGTGAAATGCTGCATGTCCTCATTGGTAACATCTACCTAAAATTTGCGGGTAAGACATTTAGGCAAGGCGTAGGCATCCCATGTTCACCATTTGTGCTCCCCTTCTTGCGGATCTGTTTCTTTATGCATATGAATCGGAATTTCTGTTTGATTGGCAAACCTTCAGGTATATCGATGATCTGATATTGTTCAATCACATATCCAATTCCCTTCCAATGATTTTCCCACCTGAACTAGAAATAAAGGAGACCAGTGAGACCGCCTCATCTGTTTCATATTCAGAACTATGCATAAACAAAACTATGCATAAAGATTCAGAGTGACAAAACACTCTCCACAAGACTGTATAAGAGGGATGACTTCAACTTTCCAACAGTCAACTTACCCTTCATGTCGAGCAATATTCCATCAGCTCCAGCCTTTGGTGTTTACATTTCGTAACTTTTGAGATACAATCGAGCATGCTCTTTCAACAAAGATTTCAAAGAGCGTCATACGACTCTTGCTCAGATGTTGTTTGATCAAGGTTACAACATTTAAGGCTTCAGTAAAGGTTTCAAAAAAAATTTATGGTAGACATATGGAGGAAATTTCCAAATCTGACGCATCAGTGACAAAAATGATGACCTATGCAATTCTCTATTGTGACAGGTGCCAGCGATGGTAAAGGATATGCTCACCTTTTCGCGAACACCTGGAATCATTACTATTTGATAGTGATTCATAAACACATGATCATGATATAGTTGAAATTGTACCACCGACTCTGCTTAATAACCGAGTATTATTTTGTATATCGTCTAACATAGATTTACTGCTGCTAGCGGACCAATCAGGGATCTAAAATTCAGAATTTACGTTCAGCTTATTCATGAAAATGATTGTTAACAGGATTCAACATGTTATTCTTCCTTTCTGAAGGGACAAACTGGACATTCGAAATGACAAGCATGCTTCTTAATGGTAAAGCTGAAACCATCCAAAGGGCCAAGGATCTCATGGAATTATCTCCTCATGACGAACTAGCCCAGCTGCCATCACCATGCATCGTCAACTCTCACATGAAGCTCTCTGACTCTCCAGATGATGTGGCAGCTCTTAAGTGCAAAGTCATCTACACCTTGCGGGACCCAAAGGATGTTATCGTCTCTCTGTACAATCTCCTTTATGACAGACCCTTGCCCTATGGAAGATATAAGGGGTCACTTGGGGATTATCTTTATCTCTTCTTGGATGGAACAGGTCTGAAACTTTCTCCACCCTTCAAACTGTAGCTAGTTAAAATAATTAATCATGAAAGATGTTCTTTTTTCACGAAGTATTCCCAATGCACATCTAACATGTTATTCCTATACCAACAAACTCTGGAGAACCAAAGACTTTATTTTAGTACCAATTCTCTCAGTTCTTCCAATCGGTATGAATGATGTATACGAGGACAATGCTCCAAGTTCAGTTTATAAATACAATGCATTTGCCATTCAAATATCTAAAAAAGCAAGCAGGTCTTTATGGAAATCTTCATACAGGCAGATCATCAATAAAACATTGCTAGTTTTACCAGTACTCACAGATAATTCTTATTTGGGGCAGCCTGGTGGTTAAAGCATTCGCTCGTAACGCCGAAGGCACATGTTTAGTTCCCCAGTTGGATAAAATGTTTGAAGCCAATTTCTGGTGTCCCTGTCCTGACATTGTTAGAATATTGCTAAATGCAGCTTACAACTATACTCAATAATGCATACAATTGTGTCGATGTGAAAAGTGAGCAATAGTTTTTGTTGTGATAAGAAATATAATATATTAAGAGAATTTTGTTATGACGAATAATCCAAATGCAGCAAATTCCAACACTCAATTCCATCGCTCCTTTTACCTAAGTTGTTGTTGCTATTTCCACAAAACCTTGTATTCAGAAAGGGTTTCAGGTTATGTTTCAGTCGACAATAATGGCATATTTGAACACTGGAGAGACGCCGAGAAATATTTTAGTCAGCATCCCGAAATTCCAGTTCATTTGCAAATATACGAAGACGCCATCAAGGTAAGGGCCCTAAAAATGATCCCAGCACTAGGATTGTCGTCCTCTCATTCTAAAAATGATCCTAGCACTCCTAAACTTGTATATGTGAAGCACAAGATACAATAAGGAGATATATATAGGAGCTTGAAATCTGCCATACTTTTGAACATTTGTAAATCTATGTATGGTTTATTCTTTGCTTTCTAAGGATCCTGTACGTGTTGTTCAAACTCTGTCCGACTTCCTTGGGCTGACCAGAGATGACGATCTGTGCCGAGCCATTGCAGAGAAGTGCAACTTTTCCGGAATGAAAATCGACAAGGAGCCCTTTGCATTAAAACTTGATGGTGAAAATTATTTGTACAGAAAAGGTAACTTTAAACAGTTGCTGCTCTTCTAAACCAAATAAGGTTTCCTGCGAGACAGGACATTTAATTGAATCCCATGAACATTCATTTGCTGCACAATGCCTACATGCTGGTTCATATATCCCCCTTTTATCAAACGACTACTTATCAGAATGTATATAACTATACTGAATACCATAACCGACATTGTGTTTCCCAGGAATCGTTGGTGACTGGAAGAACTGGTTCAACGACGAGATGTTGGAGGACTACTACAGCGTGTACGAAGAAAAGATGGCGGGGTCCAGATTCTATGATACTTATGCCAGGAGTAAATACTAGTATAGCCATACGAAAATGTTTCTAATGGTCAATATATACACAAATCGGAGATGCATTAATTACCGATATAGCACAAAGCCTAACTTGAATCACTACTCTGAATGGACATATACTTTACGGTGTTATATTTCTTTTTGAACTTCATAATGTAAAAAACGTCTCGTCAGATTAAACCATTTACAGACTGAATAAATAAAGCTAGAGTATTGAATGAACACTGCATATCACAACACAACTATTTTATTACCTAGAGTTAATTTTAAGGAATGTTGATTATAAACTTTCAGTTACAAATCGAAAAACAAAAGTTCAAGCTGCCTTCCAATATACATTCATCATTTGCTTGGATAAATGAACCGACTAATTCGTTTTAAGAAATGTTAAGACCCTCAAAAGTCCCACTGTTTCTTTTAATCTAACCCAGTAAATAATCAGTGTCAAAGGGAGTCGATGAATTATACTTTAAACACTCGCTGGGGGCCCTTTTGTTAAAGAACACGTTCTCCATTTATATGACCAACATGATAGAGGACATATATATTCTTTTCGAATACTTGCAATTGCGTGAGTTTCAAGTGATGTTTACTGTATAAATCTGACGAGGACATGTCGACGTGTTCACGTCTGTTGGAAGGAAGGTCAAGGTTGCCGAGGCTATGTGACTTGCGGCGTCGGTGACATGCACATTCATATAGGTCAACAGTCAATTCGATGAGTGTCTGGGTGGACATGTTGTCTATATAAGACAGTTGACTGTTCATTCAGGGTTCACAATAAATTGCACTGTATATCTCAACAACTCTGCAACAAGACCATATGTTAATATGCCACCTTCGTCATTGTCAATCACGGAAAAGTTCACTACTTGGTGAAACGCGTTCCTGCATATACTGTTATTGATTGTTGAGATGTTTTAGTCACATCTTATACCATAATATGCTCAGTTGTGCTTCATAAGTTCGTGTCGGAACAGACCGCCTCCGTGGTTTAGTGGTACAGCGTCCGCCCGGAGAGCGGAAGGTCCGGAATTCGATCCCCGGCCGCGTTATACCAAAAGACGTAGTTGTTGTTACCCTGTCTGGCGCTCGGCATTAAGGGGCTAAAACAAGGACTGTCGGTTTCCTGTGTCTGAATGGGGTATTCATGTTAAACTGCGGTATGTATCTCAGTGGGCTAGCACTATAAAATCGGCATCAGTCTGGACTAGTAAAGTAGCCACACACACACGTGCATGCACGTCGCCATATAAGTGCACTAATCTTGGACGCGACGTTAAACCCAATCCACCTGAACCCATCTAGTGTCAGAAACTGGTATTTGCTCTGTTTGTAGAGATAATAAGAGACGCAATTTTGTGCATTATACGACTGAGCTATTTCGTTCAACTATTAATGGAACAATGTTAACAGACACTTACTTGTGCATGAGACTCTCAGTAATATCCCTAGGGTGCACAAGGACACAGGAGTTCCAGGCTTGAGACATGTCACACGCTTCATTTTTCTACAGATATCATAGGATTGCTCTTGCCCAGAATCATCACTAAAGAAGCCTACAGGATTTTAATGTTAGACGAGAATCAACAGTTGACCCTCTGAACTTACAATGTGGTATCTGTATTGGTGTACTTCTTACAGAATAAACCTACAAAATTATGAATGTTTGGTTTTCAAATCAGCATTCGTCAATATTTCTGCTCTATCACGGTTGTGTGTAAATAATCGAGCGTGGACCACGCTCAGCATCTATCTTTGTACGTGCGACGACGGGCAGGGTGTTTCCGATGAGTTTGGTGTTTAACTCCACAGACAGCAATGTCCCAGCTGTATGATGGCGGCCTGGGTTGCTGAAGATTCATTCTAATCCGGGTTGTCAACGGATCAGATGGTAAGTAGAAGAGATGCACGAATTAATGTTGCCAGCCTAGCTTCTCTTGATTCAAAAATGAAATTCTCTGAATCCCGAGGTTGTGTGTTGCAGTGAACATGGATGTCCTGCACTATTGTAGTTATTGGCTTAAATAGGGTTGTGCGAAATGTAATTCTGCGATATGTTAACGGTTAATTGGCTTTCGTCGACGGAATGTTAATATAACATTGACATTATGGTCACAGTATGGCTGTATTTAACTTACTGACTCAGGGTCTCATGTAAAAGAGGTGGGAAGGAATAAACTTCACGAATTAAAACCAATCGGTCATATGTACTTTTGTTGTCAGTCAAGACATGACGAGGTCGTTTAACGACGATGTCATATTGGCCTCAGTCGGTTTACCTACGAATATCTACTTAAGTCAGATGTGGACGAACCTCCTAAGTGTATCCCTTGTGATGAATGGTTCACTGTCAAGCGTATAATGCTTGACTGTGTGTACACTGTTCAATCGCAAGAGATTCACATTATCAAAGTGTAAATCTGAAAGATCTCTCTCGTGTCAGAGGACATCTCATTATCAACTTTTGAAAAAAATTGATCTGTATAATAAATTTTCAATACGTGTGTGAATAATTAAATGTTTGTTTTTAAATTTGGTGTGATGCTATTATGAACTGAAATTATGGAAGGCTTTGTCCAGGAGGTTAAAGTATCGTTAAATTATTGTCCCCCTGTGTGACACGTAATCCTATCATAATCGCTGTAACTATCATCAAAGCGGTAAGTTAGGCCAACTCATTGCTGAGTATTTTTTAATATCGGATAGCATTGTGCACAACCTCCAGTGGCTAAAGTGATGACGTAAATCCTGCTGGGGTATCATGCAGGAAGCCGAGGTACTGTAAGTCCCCCATGATCCCCAGCGAGGTGGCCCCACTTTGGTTACTGGTGGCCTATAGCCCGTGTTTTAAAACAAACAGTATACGTGATATTGTTATTCCCAAATATGTTTGATAAAATGTTTTTAAATATAACTTTGTAATAATTAACAAACTGTGTATGTATCGACTTGGTGCCATCGCTATATGACTGAAGTAATGCCGTTGCGACGTTAAATTTTAACTCACTCTCCACTGACCCACTCACATAAGATGAAACTGACGGGGTTCATAGACTCACACACCGGGTACATCACACCCTATACCCTTCCAGATCGAATGACAACTTATAGTATGATGATATATCTTTTCACATCAACGTGTTTGTTTTATGTTATGTTTAGTTTTCAATTTATTTTTAAATTAATATCACACATTTTGAATCTGTTACCATATTGAAATATTTTACAAATAATTCGTTCTGAATCAAAAGGTAAACGAACTTCGTCCATTTAACATCATTATTATTTATCGCCCTTTACCTGTACGGCAACCCATTGGCGCCATGCGTTTTCAACATTATATTGCACAACTTAATCGCAAAATTCACTGTGTTTCCCACATTCGATTTTTCCAGACTTTCAGTAAGTTTAAATTATACCTATTGTGATTAACTTGCATCAGAAATTGTTTCGGTTGCAATTAGTTAGAGGTTGGACTAAAGTGATACCAACTGTACATGAGGTCACAGCCCGTGAGAGCCAAATCTGCTAAAGTACTCACGGAAATGAAAAAAACCTGTTTTTCTCAATTTAAAAATCGACACAAAGTGTTACGTATCTGTAAATACGAAATGACAAAACAACTCGAAAAGTACTAGTCTGGATTTGCTAGTTTGATCTCAGTGAACAATACAAAATGTACTTTACAGGAGGTAATTTGTCGGCACTTTCAACATTCAAAAATAAAACTAAGTCCAAAATGACATAGCAGAAACAGACAATAGGCATTATGCACCTGTTCTCACCTGTCGTCAAGGTGTCATAGGTCACCTTGATCTACTTACACCTGGTTATGCCCTGTTTCACAATAGTCCATTTATTCACATTTTTAAACACTTTTACGTGTTAAAAGGCATAAAACATTTGATACGCTGTATTTGTGCCACGGCCCAATTAGTACTAATTTAGTTGTTTGAATATTTACATATTTTGTATATTAACTGCATTTATTTAAGATCTGAGATCGAAAAAACAGTTTTTTTTCATTTCCGTGAGTACTTTAATTAGGAACAAAATTGACGATGGCGCCCTGGCGACCAGCAGTGACACGTACTCCACGAACCAGGCAGATAAAACGAGAACAAATAGGTATCACTCAACACCTTCATTACCGTAGTTACCCAAGTATAAATGTAACGGCAATGCATGTTGAGGTGGCCTTACGCATGTGTTCAATGTTCTCTGTCGTGGTTGACGAGTGGCGCTATATACAGTAGGGGACCTGTGACACTATTTGTATTATCAATCAGGCACTTGTGGGTTTAACGTCCACTTCTGATCCAGTCACATGGGGTTGATTTGATAATAAATAAGAACAATAGGGTATAAGACTAATGACCCTCCAAAATAGAAACTGTAGGTGATAAATATATCAAATGAAAATGTATGTCAGGTTTTGTTTATGGAAAGTGAAATAGAAAGGCTCGATAAATAAAATAATAACATAAGAAAATATAAAATAAAAACAAAAAGTAAACAAGAGCTTGTACTAGTAAAAGAGTATACATATTGCTAAGTATAGAATAGAGGGGGTGAAAATAAGATAAAGTTTATTAGTGAGCGCTGAGTTTACCATGCAAATAAATATATAGTAAGGGAGGACAATATAATTATATCAATACACAAGAAAAGTTTGTCCTGGTGGCTGAGTAAAGAGACTGATAGTGTTGTGTGGTTACAGCGTGATGGTGTAACTATGTGACTGACCTACATGTACATAATTTGTCTGAGTTATCGAGTAGGTGGTTTTAGGGGCATGGATCAACGGCAATTTGGTACGCGGATGTCGGAGAGAACGATCGGCGCTGAGAATTTTAATATCCATCCCAAATTGATAAAGGTTTTTTTTACTATAGCTTGGTAAATTTGGAATATTGTTCTGTCTGGGTTTATCTTTTCTGTAGACTGGCACTTTTAATGAAGATTGGGATTGTCACGAATACTACCTTTGGGTAATATGGACTGAAGAGTGAGGATAGATTACTTTTGTATTTTGTTGAAAAAGAGTGTTTTGATGGTCATGATAAAGGGGACAGTGATGAAATATGTGATCAAGGTCCTCGGGTTGTCTGCATTGTTTATGCATTGGGTTAAAATAATATTGAGTTAAGATTAATCACTGGTTTGTCTAGCCCAGTTTTGTTTGTTTATTGTTTATCGCCGCACTCAGCAATAATCCAGCTATATGACGACGGTCTGTAAGTAATTGAGTCAGGACAATCCATTGACATTATGAGCATCGTTCCACGCAATTGGGATTCGATGACATGCATCAACCAAGTCAACGAGCCTGACCACTCAATCGAGTTAGTCGCCTCTTAATCGCCTTTTATGGCAAGCATGGATTGCTGACTACCTATTCTACCCCGGATCTTTACGGGTCCGCAGAGCCCAGTCCCGATGATGAAGGGGCTGCAGTCATATAGCTGGAATATTGCCGAGTGCAATAACAAACAAAACATATTTTCATAATCGACTGAACAAGTGGGGCTCTGTTGTTTTCTGAGGTCTTCTATAAAAGTCGGTAACCGTCACCGAACCTTGTGACGTCCAATGTCAACATGTCACTTTTACCAAGGATATATTAGGATATTTCCGATGAGTTTGTTTGTTGTTTAACGCCCTAGACAGCAATATTCCAGCTACATGACGGGGCGGGGGCCTGTAATTAATCGACTCTGGATCTGACAGTCCAGTGATTCATATCAAGCGCATCGAACCACGCAATTGGGGTACGATGACATGCATTAAACAAATCAGCGAGTCTGACCACCCGATCCCATTCGTCGCCTCTTTTGACAAGCATGAGTTGCTGAAGCCCTATTTAACCCAGATCTTTTTTCTAATGTGAGTAAGATGGAAATCGTGACTGGAGGGGTAGGCCCGGTGGGACAGGCCCGGGTTCGATTCCCCACATGGGTACACCTTATCTGGTGTTCCCTGCCATGTTATTTCTTAAGTAGTACTAATAAGAAACCATATTAGCTCACTCCCAACTAAAAGCAGCAACAAAATATTCAGTACACGTGGTTTCTCGTGTTGAATTTCACACGGCTGTACCTCATGTATTGAAATATTTGAGAATTATCAGAAAGTATACGGTAACTTAAAATCCAGCTTTCATGACCTGAGACCTTTGGTCATATTGTTATCGTGTTGTCAAGACTAGTAGTACTAATAAGAAACCATATTAGCTCACTCCCAACTAAAAGCAGCAACAAAATATTCAGGACACGTGTTTCCTCATGTTGAATTTCACACGGCTGTACCTTATGTATTGAAAAACTTGAGAATTATCAATGGATCAGAAAGTATACGGTAACTTCAAATCTAGCTTTCATGACCTGCGACCCTTCGCCATATTGTAAGAGTGTCACGATAGTGTCAAGCCAGTGTGAACCTTCCGTGTCTCACAGAAACCACATCAACATGGATGAAGCGAACACTCAACAGGGGACCTTCAGTGTAAGTTAACACAGCGTAAAGCATTTCGTTATATTTATTTTTAAATTATAATTTTGCTGAAGAAGTTGACGTTTAGCTGGCTCATGACCCAGATACAGTCAGGAATGTTATCTGTATAGCGTAGAGGCAGGGTAATTGACCGTATTCGTATTACCGTTGCTCTTAGTATTGTGGTGATGCCTTCATGCTCGATAAAATAATACTTTGCTTCGAAGTTCATGTTTTATGAGATTCACAATCATCTAAAACAAGAGGCTTTCAAAACAATAATTATTGCTATGATTGCACATTTCCATTATGATTTTAATAAATGCATGAGCTATGAGTTTAGAACCTACTGTCAGCCGAAAAACATGTGGAGGCTAACGTATCTCCAAACTCAGTGGCTTTTAGAGGCTTTCCGGGAACAGTTTACTGAAATGTGAACGAGATGGAGATTTTGATCAAAGTAGACGTTGATGAGATCCTAATGATAAACAAATTGAATGTATACTGATTTCATTTTCCCATCTACTTTTTAAATACTGTATGAGTAAAAAAAGTGTTTGGGGATTACTGATATCGATATTTTACAGTTACATAGAGAATCTCACCCGAGTGTCTTTTGATATCAAATATATCAACACGAGTTGATAAAAGTGGGAAAACTCCGAGGCTTGCCGAGGTCTTTTTCGACTTTTATTAACGAGTGTTGATATATATTTGATATCAAAAGACACGAGGCTGAGATTTTATTTATCATCCAACATCATTCTTCCAAATTTTTCAGTTTGTAGACAGTAATACGCAGTGTTTTAAGTGTAAAGAGTACTGCAAACAGCTTCAGTAGCAGAGCCATTAGTGATGTCATTTGATTGTGACGTCATGATAACAATGACGTCACAATGGTCTGCAAAGCATTGTGATGCAATTTCATCTACAGTGTAAATATCGCTTGATCTCACCCAAGCGATATCTCCTGTGAGAGCCAGTTTTGGATGATAAATGAAATATATAAACTAGCATCTGTTTCCTAGGTATCTGGGACGACGCTAGACATGGATTTCAGAGGACAGCACACCGTTACAGTAACAGATCGAAGTGGCCACAGTTTGAACTTTCAACTTTTCCAAGGGGTACATTACACACCTATGTTTAAAGTCGATCAACTTCAACAAATCAGAGGATTCAACATGAGGCTAGATGACATATACTTCTCTGGATATCCTCGTACAGGTAAATTGAAAACGTTAAAGACGATTATGCACAGAAACAGATTCCACTTGGAGTAAAAAGCGAAAAAGTGATGAAAGTTACATCAATGAGTGATTACACCAGGTGTTCGCGGAAAGGGAAAGCGAGTCTTGCTGTACCGTTAGCACCCACCAGACAGACAGACAGACAGACAGACAGACAGACAGACAGACAAATTTATTCGGTACTTCAGGCCAACAGCCCATAATACAATGGAAATATACTGTATATATATATTTGCATGCTGTGTAGATTTAATAATGATTCACCGTTCAACACTGTGTTTCCGTTCGATGTTCATGGCTTGGGAGAGAAATTTACCTAAGCCTTTTATAATTTGATCGTTTTTCTAGTGATCAGAAACTCTGGTCACCAGTATCATGGTCCACGTCTTACAATGCCGTCAGACAAGCAAGTCACCGAGTATGACCGTCCGATCCATTATGTCCGAGCGCCATTGAGTAAAGCAGGGTGAAATACCATTGAGTAAAGCAGGGTGAAATACCATTGAGTAAAGCAGGGTGAAATACCATTAAGTAAAGTAGGGTCAAATACCATTGAGTAAAGCAGGGTGAAATACCATTGAGTAAAGCAGGGTGAAATACCATTGCGTAAAGCAGGGTGAAATATCCATGTAGAGGTTGTAATAATGGATAGCATCGCGCATCATGTTGACAATAAATAGAGAATCTCATCCGAGTGTCTTTTGATATCAAATATATCAACACGAGTTGATAAAAGTGGGAAAATTCTGAGGCTTGCTTGCTCATTTATCATTCAACATCATTCTTCCAACTTTTCAATTTGTAGACAGTAATTAGCAGTGTTTTCAGTGTAAAAAGTACTGCTAACAGCTTCAGCAGCAGAGCCATTTGTTTGTGGGAGCCAGTTTGGGATGATAAATACAAGTGACAAAATTCCTTCAATAATCATGAACAAAACCCTTGCTAAAAGCCGATTGTACGATTGTACGAGCATGTGTTAATGGATCACTTTCAAGTAGTGATGATACTTGCTATTCTGGCTCATCTGTGGCACCCGCCACAAAAACGTGCAAAGGCAAGTCAATCAACCTGAAACGACACAGGAAAATGTGGTACAAGTCGTTTAGTGAATTACGTCAGTCACAATATTTGTGATCAATGTGTCAAATGAGTAAATGTCTGCCGTAAAAAAATGCATGTGTCATATTTAGTAAATTCCTCTGAATAAGTACCATAAATTTCTAGAATTCTAAAATGACTTGACCAGGACCAGGATGTTGTAACCTGGAATGAAAAGCTCAGCTGTAAGTAAAATGAGCATTTCCATGTAATTTAAAGAATTGGAACATACTCGTAAGTACCCCTTGCTCGGTAATATTATCTGAACACCTAGTGTACTAGATTTTACAATTCTCTATCTATATTAAAAATTGTCCAACGGTAGTCTTAGTGAAAGAAGAGCTTCGAAATAAATATTTTCATTTGTATAACATCCATTGGAAACGTGGTACTGCTAGCTTAGGAATTAGGAGTCTAAAAGGTATACTTCCAGAATGATGAAATCTGACTGACCCCCCCCCCCCCCCCCCCCACACACACACACACACGCACACACTCACACACACACCATGGAGGGGGAGTATATATCTCAGCCGGGTAATAATTTTTTCATACCCTGCCACGAGCAAATCAGGCTGCACGTGAATATCAGAAAGACAGAATTAATTCCTTAATTCCCGCTTCATGGCAAGATGTCGTACGCTTTTTTTCCGTATCAGTGGAATTCACGTAACCTCATCTCTATCTAACAGCTGTTTTCTATCCATTTTGAATTTGTTTGAATTCTTTTACGATGTCATATTAAAACATGTCGGTAAGATAAATTCGTTGTAGCAGGATTACTCGGTGTACATGGGGTTTTATGCGTCCCCCGAACACAGGACGCCTCCGGCTCATGGTATAAAACCTAACGCGGGAAGCATACAACCCCATGTTCCCTTCGTGATGCTGATGCAACTTTATAGAAGTATTATAGAAGTAACTTCGTTTAGGATTCGACATGTTATTCTTCCTTTGTGAAGGGACAAACTGGACATTCGAAATGACAAGCATGCTTCTTAATGGTAAAGCTGAAACCATCCAAAGAGCCAAGGATCTCATGGAATTAACTCCTCATGACGAATTAGCCCAGCTGCCATCACCACGCATCGTCAACTCTCACATGAAGCTCTCCGACTCTCCAGATGATGTGGCAGCACTGAAGTGCAAAGTCATCTACACCTTGCGAGACCCAAAGGATGTTGCTGTCTCTCTGTACAAACTCTGTTATAACAAACCCGTGTCCTTTGGAAGATATATGGGATCGTTTGAGGATTATCTTTATCTCTTCTTGGATGGAACAGGTCTGAAATTCTTATCCCTTTATACTATAGCTAATGTAAAGGGGATGGGGGGTAGCCTGGTGGTTAAAGCAATTGTCGAAGGCCCAGTATTATTTCTCCAGATGGATAATTCCCAGTCGCGATATTACAGGAGTGTTTATAAAAGCGGCATCACACAGCACACATTAAAGCATACCATGGTATTGATGGAATGTAAGCATTATTGTTAAAAATTGTGATGCCAATAAACCCAGTATTTATGGTAGATTTTCTTATGCCAAGTGCAGATTATGAATGTATAGTAAACCCGTGAAGACCCGAGTTACAATAGGTCTTCAGTAACCCATGCTTGTCTTTGGAGGCGACTTACGGGTTTGGGTGGTCAGACTCGCCGACAGGCAGATGCATGTTGCAGATGCATGTATCCCAATTGCGTAGATCGATACTCATGATGTCAATCTCTGGATTGTCTTGTCCACACTTGATTATTTACAGACCGCCGTCATATAGTTGGATTGTTGCTGAGTGCGGCGTTAAACAGGAAACAAAGTAAACCCCAATTGTAAATTAGTTGATCCCAGGGCCCCGTTCCACAAAGCGATCATAACTACAATCAATCTTAGAGACTTACGGCGATTCTAAAATTATTGTCTTAGCTAAAGTTTACAACCGTTCCACAAAGTGATTGTAACTTTACAAGTTCTTAAGTAGCCGATCTTAACAAAGATCGGAATCTTCAGCCATAAAGATACGAAATTTTCCCTTGGTCATGTTTAGCAGACGACGCATTTCCTTGCACACCATAATAAAAGTCGCCATCTTTGTTGTAATGGTACAATATTTAAAATCGATTTTAGCAATCCTAAGTTGGTCCGGGGCAACTTAGCATTTTGATCTTAACTTACAACTCTCTTAGTTAAGATTGCTTTGTGGAACGGGCGGCTGATCGTAACAAAAATTTAAGATCGCATGCTTAGTGAGTTACAATCAACTTAGCCCTAAGATCGCTTTCTGGAACGGGGCCCAGGTTGATAGTTCAATGTGTATGCCGAGTCATTTCCCTCACTCTATTTAGCTTAGTTGGTGTGGACACCTTGTACTCAGGAAGGGCTTCGGATTTGGTTTCAGTTGACAGCAATGGCATATTTGAACACTTGAGAGACGCCGAGAAATATTTCAGTCACCATCCCGAAATCCCAGTTCACGTGCAAAGTTACGAAGAAGCCATCAAGGTACAAGGCCTCATGTCACAAATGATCTTAGCGCCACGATGGTCGTAACTCCCATACTTGAATATTGACTTACGGTTGCAGTTGTGCTAAGATTGCTTTTGGGAATGAGATCAGGAGTGACATTTTATACACGTTCCTTTTGTTCCTTGTTTTAGTATACATGTATTCCATTATTTATGACCAACACCTTTTGAAATGAAAAATATTCGAAAATAGACTCTGCAAAAAAGAAACGCAAAAGTAGTAAAATCGTTAATATCTGACAGTGTCGCCAACATCCATGCAAACTTCATACCAAAAATGAACTGGTCATTTCTGCATGGATTTGGATTGATTTGTGTGGAAAAAATGAGGTTCTGCAAACATTTGGTGAAAAGATGAGAGTCTGTCGGCAAAGCACACAACAATAACATGCACGTGCAACATCACTTGCTGGGCTATAAAAAAACGCTTGTGTTTTATGACTGTGCATGCCATCACAATCTCACAGCAAGTAAAATCGAAAAATGTCATGACTGACGAACGCCCAACGCAACAACGCCATCGGCCGACTGCCAACAAGAGAATCATCTTCAGATGTATCCTGGTTTTTCCACGTAGCAGGATTAGAAGGTTGTGAAATCGTTACCTGACACACGGAACAACATGTGACCTTCCCAGACCCGGTCGTCCACGAATCACTACAAGAGCACTGGACAGATTCATACGGTTAGGTCACTTAAGTGAAAGAACCACCACGGCCATCTCTGTTACTACGGCAATACCAAGATTGCGTAGGATATCAGTCTAAATAGTGAGGATACCCGTGAAGATCCGGGGTAGAATAGGTCTTTAGCAACCCATGCTTGCAATAAGAGGCGACTATGCTTGTCGTAAGAGGCGACAAACGGGATCGGGTGGTCAGGCTCGCTGACTTGGTTTATGCATGTCATCGTATCCCAATTGCGTGGATCGCTGCTCATGGTGTCTGTCATTGGATTGTCTGGTCCAGACTTGATTATTTACAGACCGCCGTCATACAGCTGGAATATTGCTGAGTGCGGCGTTAAACAACACACAAACAAACAAAGAAACAAAAAGATAACCAGAAACCGTTTACACGCTTAAGAATGTTGAGGTATTCGCGATAGATGACCAGTTCAAGTTGTCAATTTGACGGATCTGCATCGTCGGCTCCGACTTCAATGGTGTCAAGATCACAGAGTATGGCCACAACCGGGAATGAGACGTCGTGTTTACAGGCATCACGTGTAACGTTTTGCACGAAACTGTATACAGGAAGTGGACAGATTTGGTGGTGATCGTGTGATGATGTGGGCAAACATATCCTACACTCGTAGAACAACCTTGGAGCAACTTCGATGGGATTTAACGGCACAACGTTAAATGGATAAGATTCTTTGGCCACATGTCCTTCCGATTATGCAAGAAGCGAACAACATTTTCCAACAAGACAACGCCCGACATCACACAGCAAGACTGACAATAGTCTTTTTCAGGAATCGAGATCTCCTGATTTAACCCTTATCGAACATTTTTTAGATGCACTGGAACGACAACTGCAAGCACGTCAGCAACAACCACAGAACTTCCGACAGTTGGCACAAACATTGCAGGCAGAGTGGGTAAACATTCACCAGTCTACAGCTCGGCATTTGATTGCTTCCATGGGACGACGATTCCAGCTAGTTTAGACTCTAATTGTTTGCCATACAAGATAATAAGAACAGATCATCCTTACCGTGAAAATCTACTGTTCCATGTGTGCCATATGGAACCTTGGTCAATGACAATGATTTGTGCCAATTGTGAGCGAACCGATGATTATGAATATGAAAATATATAATATACATATATGAGATAGCAACGCGATAAATCACAAAGAACAATGAAGAACGAAGCGTGGTATATATCACGATAAAACAGTGTTCTATCATGAGGTCATGATGACGTTATATATTGGACAACGTTATTTTTGAGAGGGAAGTGTCAAGTAAATTGTTCCCCATAGATGCAACTGGGCTACGCGGATAAACGCAGTTGCCGAACAATTTTATCCAAAAGCGGAAGAGATATGACAGTCGGTATTGGGTGAAAAGGTAAAGATAACAGACCTGAAGATTGTGAGGATATGCGGGAAATACCAAACTTAACCCACATGCTCGTAAAATGGATTTTCCCGACATTTCCGAGTCGGATTCTATTTAGGGAGTCATCATTATTAAAATTTAGGTAAATAATTTTAAAGCTTGTATATTTTATCAATATCTTTAAAGAGGCTGTACATAATGTTGGTATCTCATATAAGAAATAAATGGTTGCGCCCCACAAGGGTTATTCTCCCTGCAGTGTTTTATTGTACAAGAAGCAACTCCCAACTCATCGTTTATTTCTTAACTAAAATCACTTTTGCGTTTCTTTTGTTTTGCAGAGTATTTAAATGACAAAACCCTTTCCACAATCACAAGAAATCTCTGCTAAAACTCCTGTGAAAGAATAAAACACTTTTCCACATTTGTGAACCTACGTATGATTTATCCTATTACTGTTATTCAAATGTAGTTTTAAAAATGTTTGGTATAAACTATCTGTACGATCTGATAGTGTATTTATCAATTCTACAGAGGCAAAAAACATATGTATTTGCAATCGTGATCCTTTTCGTTGATCTCATCAAAGATTTTTTTTAATATTATAGAATGTTGAAAACTCATATCTACACTGAACAGTATCTGTTTTATGTGAATAGAAATGAAATACCGTAATTCATTGGCAAGATTGTGATGTTCATCCAACGATTTATGCATTGAGAGTGGGCGATATACAAAAACTCCAAGGTCAGAACAATTATGTAAACTGTGTAATAGCAAAGATAAAGAGGATGAATACCACTTTGTATGTGTGTGTCCATTGCATTCCACTGTGAGAAACAATATATTCCTGTATACATAAGATCCAAATATTGTAACATTCCGACAGTTGTTAAACAGTTTAGATTAATAATGCAAACCCTTGACATGTATATATACCACGCACTGTTATATAGAACCAAATTTGTAATTAATAGTTTAAATTGTGTGCAACACCTCCGTCTGTATGTACTATTGGTCTGTGGCCGCTTAACATCTCGGATAAAGATTGATTGATAGTTTTATCCTATCTGTTCTAAGGATCCTGTACGTGCTGTTCAAACTCTGTCCGACTTCCTTGGGCTGACCAGAGATGACGATCTGTGCCGAGCCATTGCAGACAAGTGTAACTTTTCGAGAATGAAAATCGACAAGGAAGCCTTCGCAATAAAACTGGATGGTGACAACTTTCTGTACAGAAAAGGTAATTTTGTGAACAGTTACTGCTCCCCTAAACCAAATTAAGGTTGGTTGGTTGGATTTCTGTTCAAGGCCGCATTCAGCAATATTCCAGCTATATGACGGCAGTCTGTAAATTATCGAGTCTGGACCAGACAATCCAGTGATTAATATCATGAGCATCACCCGATCCCGTTAGTCGCCTCCTACGACAAGCATAGTCATGGGTTGCTGAAGACCTATTCCCAACCCGGATCTTCACGGGTCTAGGTTCTCCTGCTTGACGTGAACAACGAAAACGATCGTATCAACACTCATTTGCTAAAGGTATTGCTTCACATGATAAGTTTTCAATACAAGGACTTGATAAAGGTGGCCTGTATTCGTGTTCATATATCACCCTTGTGTCAAAAGACTACTTATCGAATGCCTATAATTATAATGAATACCATGACCGACATTGTGTTTCCCAGGAACCGTTGGTGACTGGAAGAACTGGTTCAACGACCAGATGTTGGAGGACTACTACAGAGTGTACGACGAAAAGATGGCGGGGTCCAGATTCTATGATACGTATGCCAGGAGTAAATACTAGTATGTCCATACAAAAATGTTTCTGTTCGAATGGTCAATTTACACAATAATCGAAAACGCATTAATTACCGATATAGCACGAAGCCTAACTTAAATCACTACTCTGAATAGACTCTTACTTGGTGTTTCATCTTTTTTAACTCAATTTATAATTTAAGAAAATGTCTGGTCAGATTTAACTACTTACAGACAGCCTTGATAAAGCTAGATAAAGGTGGCCTGTATTCGTGTTCATATATCACCCTTGTGTCAAAAGACTACTTATCGAATACCTATAATTATAATGAATAACATAGCCGACATTGTGTTTCCCAGGAATCGTTGGTGACTGGAAGAACTGGTTCAACGACGAGATGTATGAGGACTACTACAGAGTGTACGACGAAAAGATGGCGGGATCCAGTTTCTATGATACTTATGCCAGGAGTAAATACTAGTATAGCCATACGAAAATGTTTCTAATGGTCAATATATACACAAATCGGAGATGCATTAATTACCGATATAGCACAAAGCCTAACTTGAATCACTACTCTGAATGGACATATACTTTACGGTGTTATATTTCTTTTTGAACTTCATAATGTAAAAAACGTCTCGTCAGATTAAACCATTTACAGACTGAATAAATAAAGCTAGAGTATTGAATTAACACTGCATATTACAACACAGCTATTTTATAACCTAGAGTTAATTTTAAGGAATGTTGATTATAAAATTTCAGTTACAAATCGAAAAACAAAAGTTCAAGCGGTTTGCCTTCCAATATCCATTCATCATTTGCTTGGATAAACGAACCGACTAATTTATTTTACGAAATGTTAAGACCCTCAAAAGTCCCACTGTTTCTTTGAATCTAACCCACTAAATAATCAGTGTTAAAGGGAGTCGATGAATTATACTTTAAACAATCGCTAGGGGCCTTTTTGATAAAGAACACGTTCTCCATTTATATGACCAACATGAAAGAGGACATATATATTATTTTCGAAAACTTGCAATTGCGTGAGTTTTCAGTAATGGTGACTGTATAAATCTGACGAGGACATGTCGACGTTTTGCCATTCACGTCTGTTAGAACGAAGGTCAAGGTTGCCGAGGCTATGTGACTTGCGGCGTCAGTAACATTCATATAGCTCAACAGTCAATTCGATGAGTGTATGGGTGGACATGTTGTCTATATATGACAGTTGACTGTTTATTCAGGGTTCACAATAAATTACACTGTATATCTCAACAACTCTGCAACAATACCATATGTAAATATGCCACCTTCGTCATTGTCAATCACGAAAAAAGTTAATTAAAATGATAAGTAATTTCACTACTTGGTGAAACACGTTCCTGCATATACTGTTATTGATTGTTGAGATGTTTTAGTCACATCTTATACCATAATATGCTCAGTTGTGCTTCATAAGTTCGTGTCAGAAACAGACCGCCTCCGTGGTCTAGTGGTACAGCGTCCGCCCGGAGAGCGGATCCGGAAGGTCCGGAATTCGATCCCCGGCCGCGTCATACCAAAAGACGTACTTGTTGTTACCCTGTCTGGCGCTCGGCATTAAGGGGCTTAAACAAGGACTGTCGGTATACTGTGTCTCTGTGGGGTATTCATGTTAAACTGCGGTATTGTATCTCAGTGGGCTAGCACTATAAAATCGGCATCAGTCTGGACTAGAAAAGCAGCCACACGTCGCCATATAAGTGCACTAATCTTGGACGCGACGTTAAACCCAATCCACCTGAACCCACCTATTGTCAGAAACTGGTATTTGCTCTGTTTGTAGAGATAATAAGAGACGCAATTTTGTGCATTATACGACTATTTCGTTCAACTATTCATGGAACAATGTTAACAGACACTTACTTGTGCATGAGACTCTCAGTTATATCCTTAGGGTGCACAAGGACTCAGGAGTTCCACGCTTGAGACATGTCACACGCTTCATTTTTCTACAGGTATCATAGAATTGCACTTGCTCAGAATCATCACTAAAGAAGCCTACAGGATTTTAATGTTAGACGAGAATCAACAGTTGACCCTCTGAACTTACAATGTGGTATCTGTATTGGTGTATTTCTTACAGAATAAACCTACAAAATATAGTTTTGGTTATTTAATGATTCTGAATGTTTGGTTTTCAAATCTGCATTCGTCAATATTTCTGCTCTATCACGGTTGTGTGTAAATAATCGAGCGTGGACCACGCTCAGCATCTATCTTTGTACGTACGATGATGGGCAGGGTGTTTCCGATGAGTTTGGTGTTTAACTCCACAGACAGCAATGTCCCAGCTGTATGATGGCGGCCTGGCATGGGTTGCTGAAGATAAATTCTAATCCGGGTTGTGAACGTATCAGAGGGTAAGAAGAATAGATACACGAATTAATGTTGCCAGCCTAGCTTCCCTTGATTCAAAAAGGAAATTCTCGGAATCCCGAGGCTGTGTGTTGCTTTCAACACGGTTGCCCTGCACTATTGTAGTTATTGGCTTAAATAGGGTTGTGCGAAATGTAATTCTGCGATATGTTAACGGTTAATTGGCCTTCGTCGGAATGTTATTATCATATTGATATTCTAGTCACAATATGGCTGTATTTAACTTACTGACCCTCTTATACTCAGGGTCTCATGTAAAAGAGGAGGGAAGCAATAAACATCACGAATTAAAACCAACCATCTGTCATATCTACTTTTGTTGTCAGTCAAGCCATGACGATGTCGTATTGGCCACAGTCGGTTTACCTACGAATATCTACTTAAGACAGATGAGGACGAACCTCTTAAGTGTATCCCTTGTGATGAATGGTTCACTGTCAAGCGTATAATGCTTGCCTGTGTGTACACTGTTCAATCGCAAGAGATTCACATTATCAAAGCGTAAATCTGAAAGATCTCTCTCGTGTCAGAGGACATCTCATTATCAACTACTTGAAACAAATGGATCTGTATAAAAAATTAAATATGTGTGTGAATAATTAAATGTTTGTTTTTAAATTTGGTGTGATGCTATTATGAACTGAAATTATGGAAGGCTCTGTCCAGGAGGTTAAAGTATCGTTAGATTATTGTCCCCCTGTGTGACCCGTAATCCTATCATAATCGCTGTAACTATCATCGACCAGTAAGTTCAGCCAACTTATTGCTGAGTATTTTTTAATATTGGATAGCATTGTGCACAACCTCTAGTGGCTAAAGTGATGACGTAAATCCTGCTGGGGTATGGATCGGGCGGTCAGGGTCGTTTGACATAGTTGATAGATTATCATCGTAGGACGTTGAACAAAACATATGCTCCGGACCTGTCTTGAAGTCGGTAGATAAGTTCGTTGTCAACCGATACCTTGGGGCATATAACGTGATGTACCCTTTGTGTACGTGCTGACTGCACGGGGTTCATAGACTCACACACCGGGTACATCACACCCTATACCCTTCCAGATCGAATGACAACTTATAGTATGATGATATATCTTTTCACATCAACGTGTTTGTTTTATGTTATGTTTAGTTTTCAATTTATTTTGAAATTAATATCACACATTTTGAATCTGTTACCATATTGAAATATTTTACAAATAATTCGTTCTGAATCAAAAGGTAAACGAACTTCGTCCATTTTACATCATTATGATTTATCTCCCTTTAACTGTACGGCAACCCACTGACGCCATGCGTTTTCAACATTATATTGCACAACTTAATCGCAAAATTCACTGTGTTTCCCACATTCGATTTTTCCAGACTTTCAGTAAGTTTAAATTATACCTATTGTGATTAACTTGCATCAGAAATTGTTTCGGTTGCAATTAGTTACAGGTTGGACTAAAGTGATACCAACTGTACATGAGGTCACAGCCCGTGAGAGCCAAATCTGCTAAAGTACTCACGGAAATGAAAAAAACCTGTTTTTCTCAATTTAAAAATCGACACAAAGTGTTACGTATCTGTAAATACGAAATGACAAAACAACTCGAAAAGTACTAGTCTGGATTTGCTAGTTTGATCTCAGTGAACAATACAAAATGTACTTTACAGGAGGTAATTTGTCGGCACTTTCAACATTCAAAAAAAAAACTAAGTCCAAATTGACATAGCAGAAACAGACAATAGGCATTATGCACCTGTTCTCACCTGTCGTCAAGGTGTCATAGGTCACCTTGATCAACTTACACCTGGTTATGCCCTGTTTCACAATAGTCTGTTTTATTCACATTTTTACACACTTTTACGTGTAAAAAGGCATAAAAACATTTGATACGCTGTATTTGTGCCACGGCCCAATTAGTACTTTAGTTGTTTGAATATTTACATATTTTGTATATTAACTGCATTTATTTAAGATCTGAGATCGAAAAAAACAAGTACTTTAATTAGGAACAAAATTGACGATGGCGCCCTGGCGACCAGCAGTGACACGTACTCCACGAACCAGGCAGATAAAACGAGAACAAATAGGTATCACTCAACACCTTCATTACCGTAGTTACCAAAGTATAAATGTAACGGCAATGCATATTGAGGTGGCCTAACGCATGTGTTCAATGTTCTCTGTCGTGGTTGACGAGGGGCGCTGTATACAGTAGGGGCTCTGTGACACTATTTGTATTATCAATCAGGCACTTGTGGGTTTAACGTCCACTTCTGATCCAGTCACATGGGGTTGATTTGATAATAAATAAGAACAATAAGGTATAAGACTAATGAACCTCCAAAATAGAAACTGTAGGTGATAAATATATCAAATGAAAATGTATGTCAGGTTTTGTTTATGGAAAGTGAAATAGAAAGGTTCGATAAATAAAATAATAACATAAGAAAATATACAATAAAAACAAAAAGTAAACAAGAGCTTATACTAGTAAAAGAGTATACATATTGCTAAGTATAGAATAGAGGGGGTGAAAATAAGATAAAGTTTATTAGTGAGCGCTGAGTTTACCATGCAAATAAATATATAGTAAGGGAGGACAATATAATTATATCAATACACAAGAAAAGTTTGTCCTGGTGGCTGAGTAAAGAGACTGATAGTGTTGTTTTTGTTACAGCGTGATGGTGTAACTATGTGACTGACCTACATGTACATAATTTGTCTGAGTTATCGAGTAGGTGGTTTTAGGGGCATGGATCAACGGCAATTTGGTACGCGGATGTCGAAGAGGACGATCGGCGCTGAGAATTTTAATATCGATCCCAAATTGATAAAGGTTGTTTTGACTATAGCTAGGTAAATTTGGAATATTGTTCTGTCTGGGATTTATCTTTTCTGTAGACTGGCACTTTTAATGAAGATTGGGATTGTCACGAATACTACCTTTGGGTAATATGGACTGAAGAGTGAGGATAGATTACTTTTGTATTTTGTTGAAAAAGAGTGTTTTGATGGTCATGATAAAGGGGACAGTGATGAAATATGTGATCAAGGTCCTCGGGTTGTCTGCATTGTTTATGCATTGGGTTAAAATAATACTGAGTTAAGATTAATCACTGGTTTGTCTAGCCCAGTTTTGTTTGTTTATTGTTTAACGCCGCACTCAGCAATAATCCAGCTATATGACGACGGTCTGTAAGTAATTGAGTCTGGACAATCCATTGACATTATGAACATCGTTCCACGCAATTGGGATTCGATGACATGCATCAACCAAGTCAACGAGCCTGACCACTCAATCGAGTTAGTCGCCTCTTAATCGCCTTTTATGGCAAGCATGGATTGCTGACTACCTATTCTACCCCGGATCTTTACGGGTCCGCAGAGCCCAGTCCCGATGATGAAGGGGCTGCAGTCATATAGCTGGAATATTGCCGAGTGCAATAACAAACAAAACATATTTTCATAATCGACTGAACAAGTGGGGCTCTGTTGTTTTCTGAGGTCTTCTATAAGAGTCGGTAACTGTCACCGAACCTTGTGACGTCCAATGTCAACATGTCACTTTTACCAAGGCACGACGATTAGGATATTTCCGTTGAGTTTGTTTGTTGTTTAACGCCCTAGACAGCAATATTCCAGCTACATGACGGGGCGGGGGCCTGTAATTAATCGACTCTGGACCTGACAGTCCAGTGATTCATATCAAGCGCATCGAACAACGCAATTGGGGTACGATGACATGCATTAAACAAATCAGCGAGTTTGACCACCAGATCCCATTCGTCGCCTTTTTTGACAAGCATGAGTTGCTGAAGCCCTATTTAACCCAGATCTTCACGGGTCTGTTTCTAATGTGAGTAAGATGGAGATCGTGACTGGAGGGGTAGGCCCGGTGGGACAGGCCCGGGTTCGATTCCCCACATGGGTACACCTTATCTGGTGTTCCCTGCCATGTTATTTCTTAAGTAGTACTAATAAGAAACCATATTAGCTCACTCCAAACTAAAAGCAGCAACAAAATATTCAGGACACGTGTTTCCTCATGTTGAATTTCACACGGCTGTACCTCATGTATTGAAATATTTGAGAATTATCAGAAAGTATACGGTAACTTAAAATCCAGCTTTCATGACCTGAGACCTTTGGTCATATTGTTATCGTGTTGTCAAGACTAGTAGTACTAATAAGAAACCATATTAGCTCACTCCCAACTAAAAGCAGCAACAAAATATTCAGGACACGTGTTTCCTCATGTTGAATTTCACACGGCTGTGCCTTATATATTGAAAAACTTGAGAATTATCAATGGATCAGAAAGTATACGGTAACTTCAAATCTAGCTTTCATGACCTGCGACCCTTCGCCATATTGTTAGAGTGTCACGATAGTGTCAGGCCAGTGTGAAGCTTCCGTGTCTCACAGAAAACACATCAACATGGATGAAGCGAACACTCAACAGGGGACCTTCAGTGTAAGTTAACACAGCGTAAAGCATTTCGTTATATTTTTTTTTAAATTATAATTTTGCTGAAGAAGTTGACGTTTAGCTGGCTCATGACCCAGATACAGTCAGGAATGTTATTTGGATAGCGTAGAGGCAGGGTAATTGACCGTATTCGTATTACCGTTGCTCTTAGTATTGTGGTGATGCCTACATGCTCGATAAAATAATACTTTGCTTCGAAGTTGATGTTTTATGAGATTCACAATCATCTAAAACAAGAGGCTTTCAAAACAATAATTATTGCTATGATTGCACATTTCCATTATGATTTTAATAAATGCATGAGCTATGAGTTTAGAACCTACTGTCAGCCGAAAAACATGTGGAGGCTAACGTGTCTCCAAACTCAGAGGCTGTTAGAGGCTTTCAGGGAACAGTTTACTGATATGTGAACGAGAGGGAGATTTTGATCAAAGTAGTCGTTGATGAGATCCTAATGATAAACGAATTAAATGTAAACTGATTTCATTTTCCCATCTGCTTTTAAAATACTGTATGAGGAAAATAGTGTTTGGGGATTACTGATATCGAAATTTTACAGTTACATAGAGAATCTCACCCGAGTGTCTTTTGATATCAAATATATCAACACGAGTTGATAAAAGTGGGAAAACTCCGAGGCTTGTTGATATATTTGATATCAAAAGACACGAGGCTGAGATTTTATTTATCATCCAACATCATTCTTCCAAATTTTTCAGTTTGTAGACAGTAATAAGCAGTGTAGACAGTAAAAAGTACTGCAAACAGCTTCAGTAGCAGATCCATTAGTGATGTCATTTGATTGTGACGTCATGATAACAATGACGTCACAATGGTCTGCAAAGCATTGTGATGCAATTTCATTGCAGCGAAATCTACAGTGTAAATATCGCTTGATCTCACCGAAGCGATATCTCCTGTGAGAGCCAGTTTTGGATGATAAATGAAATATATAAACTAGCATCTGTTTCCTAGGTATCTGGGATGATGCTAGACATGGATTTCAGAGGACAGCACACCGTTACAGTAACAGATCGAAGTGGCCACAGTTTGAACTTTCAACTTTTCCAAGGGGTACATTACACACCTATGTTTAAAGTCGATCAACTTCAACAAATCAGAGGATTCAACATGAGGCTAGATGACATATACTTCTCTGGATATCCTCGTATAGGTAAATTCAAAACGTTAAAGACGATTATCCACAGAAACAGATTCCACTTTGAGTAAAAAGCGAAAACGTGATAAAAGTTACATCAATGAGTGATTACACCAGGTGTTCGTAGAAAGGGAAAGCGAGTCTTGCTGTACCGTTAGCACCCACCAGACATTATTGACAGACAGACAGACAGACAGACAGACAAATTTATACCGGCCCATAATACAATGGAAATATACTGTATATATATTTGCATGCTGAGTAGATTTGATAATGATTCACTGTTCAACACTGTGTTTCCGTTCGATGTTCATGGCTTGGGAGAGAAATTTACCTAAGCCTTTTATAATTAGATCGTTTTTCTAGTGATCAGAAACTCTGGTCACCAGTATCATGAGCAATGGTCCACGTCTTACAATGCCGTCAGACAAGCAAGTCACCGAGTATGACCGTCCGATCCATTATGTCCGAGCGCCATTGAGTAAAGCAGGGTGAAATACCATTGAGTAAAGCAGGGTGAAATACCATTGAGTAAAGCAGGGTGAAATATCCATGTAGAGGTTGTAATAATGGATAGCATCGCGCATCATGTTGACAATAAATAGAGAATCTCAAACGAGTGTCTTTTGATATCAAATATATCAACACGAGTTGATAAAAGTGGGAAAATTCTGAGGCTTGCTTGCTTATTTATCATTCAACATCATTCTTCCATTTTTTCAATCTGTAGACAGTAATTAGCAGTGTCTTCAGTGTAAAAAGTACTGCTAACAGCTTCAGCAGCAGAGCCATTCGTGGTGTCGTTTGTTTGTGGGAGCCAGTTTGGGATGATAAATACAAGTGACAAAATTCCTTCAATAATCATGAACAAAACCCTTGCTAAAAGCCGATTGTACGATTGTACGAGCATGTGTTAATGGATCACTTTCAAGTAGTGATGATACTTGCTATTCTGGCTCACTTGTGGCACCCGCCACAAAAACATGCAAAGGCAAGTCAATCAACCTGAATCGACACAGGAAAATGTGGTACAAGTCGTTTAGTGAATTACGTCAGTCACAATATTTGTGATCAATGTGTCAAATGAGTAAATGTCTGCCGTAAAAAAAATGCATGTGTCATATTCAGTAAATTCCTCTGAATGAGTACCATAAATTTCTAGAATTCTAAAATGACTTGACCAGGACCAGGATGTTGTAACCTGGAATGAAAAGCTCAGCTGTAAGTAAAATGTGTATTTCAATGTAATTTAAAGAATTGGAACATACTCGTAAGTACCCCTTGCTCGGTAATATTATCTGAACCTAGTGTACTAGATTTTACAATTCTCTATCTATATTAAAAATTGTCCACCGGTAGACTTAGTGAAAGAAGAGCTTCGAAATAAATATTTTCATTTGTATAACATCCATTGGAAACGTGGTACTGCTAGCTTAGGAATTAGGAGTCTAAAAGGTATACTTCCAGAATGTTGAAATCTGACTGACCCCCTCCCCCCCCCCCCCCCCCCCCCCCCCCACACACACACACGCACACACTCACACACACCATGGAGGGGGAGTATATATCTCAGCCGGGTAATAATTTTTTCATACCCCACCACGAGCAAATCAGGCTGCACGTGAATATTAGAAAGACAGGATTAATTCCTTAATTCCCGCTTCAAGGCAAAATATCGTACGCTTTTTTTCCGTATCAGTTGAATTCACGTAACCTCATCTCTATCTAACAGCTGTTTTCTATCCATTTTGAATTTGTTTGAATTCTTTTACGATGTCATATTAAAACACGCCGTTGAGGGAAAATTCGTTACAGCAGGATCACTCGGTGTACATTGGGTTTTATGCGTCCCCCCAACACGGGACGCCTCCGGCTCATGATATAAAACCTAACGCGGGACGCATACAACCCCATGTTCCCTTCGTGATGCTGATGCAACTTTATAGAAGTATGATAGAAGTAACTTCGTTTAGGATTCGACATGTTATTCTTCCTTTCTGAAGGGACAAACTGGACATTCGAAATGACAAGCATGCTTCTTAATGGTAAAGCTGAAACCATCCAAAAAGCCAAGGATCTCATGGAATAAACTCCTCATGACGAACTAGCCCAGCTGCCATCACCACGCATCGTCAACTCTCACATGAAGCTGTCCGACTCTCCAGATGATGTGGCAGCACTGA